AGACGGGGAGCAGCTTTTCTCGTCCCGGAAGACGGGGGCGGCGGACGACGACGCATCTGGGTGTCCCGCCGCTCCCGTCCTCCGGGGCAAGAAAAGCCCCGTTTGTAACTGCGGATGACATTAAAGTTTTACATCTTAAAATTTAATTCTACAAAGATAGTTGGGATTTAGAATATGGATAAGATTATGCATTGCTATTTGACTGGTACAGTTTGTTAATATCTAGTCAGTGTTATGTGCAGTTTATCTTCTCAACCAGCATTCATGTTTAATTTTACATATTTTTAACAAGATACAATTTGACTTGTATATGCACATATTTTAGTTTTATTTTGTTTGATTCAGAATCTACAGAGGTTACAACATGGTGCAAAGTCCAGCGGATGTCACTATGGAAAACAACATTTCTAGGGTTATCTCAGCAGTTTCCCATGCATTAACAACATCAACTACAAGAGCACTTACTGTGAGTATTTTAATAATCTATAAATAACATATAATTTTAATAAAATAGGGATCAGTAAATACATTCAGTACTTTCTTGCTATATGTGTTACCTCCACAGGGTTACCTGGGACCTCTGGAGTGTAGTGTAGGAGCCTCTACAGCTTGAGCTATAAAGCCAGCTGGAGCTCCCTTGTTCTAATCTCTCACTGTGAGTGGTCTAAGTGCCACTATCTGGGACAATGAACCACACTAAGGCTACGTCTAGACTGGCCCCTTCTTTGGAAGAGGCATGCTGATTTCTAAGTTTGGAATAGGGAAATCCGCGGGGGATATTTAAATATCCCCCGCGGGATTTAAATAAACATGGCTGCCGCTTTTTTCCGGCTTGAGGAAAAGCCGGAAAAGTGTGTCCAGACTTGCAAGTAGGAATAAGAGATCCTCCGGAAAAGGGCTTTATTCCGGAGGATCTTGCCAGTCTGGACGCTCTTTTCCGGCTTTTCCCCAAGCAGGAAAAAAAGCGGCGGCCATGTTTATTTAAATCCCGTGCGGGATATTTAAATCCCCCGCGCATTTCCCTATTCCAAACTTAAAAATTAGCATGCCTCTTCCGAAGAAGGGGCCAGTCTAGACGAAGCCTACGTGTGTGGGTTACATATGCATATGCCTCTGTACTGTCATACAGCGGTAATGAAGAAATGTTAATGATGGCGTTTGGAAATTCAATGTATTTTGCTCCTAACCCCTATACTGTTAACTGTAATGTAATATCTTCCTTAATTTCTTTCAGTTTGGCTGCTGTGAAGCTTTGTGTCTTCTCTCTACAACATTTCCCGTGTGCACATGGACTGTAGGATGGCACTGTGGGTATGTTTCTTCATCCAGTATACAAGCTTCTAGAATTCATATTTACAAAAACAGAGGACACTCATTCAGGTATCCAAAGCCCTGCTTTAATTATTTGCTGTTAAGCGTCACTTAGCAGTTGTTTAAAGATTTCATACAGATAGGCCTAATATTATTAGGCTCATAACAGGTTAGCATTGAATCAAGTAATAGATTTTCCATCATTTTAAATAATACAGTCCATATTCTGTGGTATTTGTAATTGTTTAAATAAATGGAGAAAATCAATGTTTATCTAGGAAATGGATAAAATATTGTGGTAGCAGAGGGGAAGGGGAAGTATTTTTTTTCAAGCTTCAGAAGGAATGTTATAAAATCTGCAGTGTTAAATAAAAACAAGTAGAGCAAAAGTCAGCTTTTTTTGTCTGAATTTTTCACATCATCTATACTTTATATCTGTATTGTAGGTGTTGGGCAATGGAAACTAGTGTGTAACTGTTGTTATAACAAGGATTTGCAGATGCCTCCCAGTTGCTTTTGTTGGGTAGATAAGTCTGCAAGACTTCATGGCAACAGCAAATGGAACCACTAGTGAAGTGCATAACTTTCCACTTACGTGGCTAATATGATTTTGAAAGACCCAAGATATTGTCTGTCGTGAGAAGAGATCTTTTACTTAAAGTAACTGTAGCCTTGTTAAATGCTAGTGTTTGATTCTCTTCTTTGGATACCATTGTATGTATTGCTGCCTGTCCATTAGGGTTGTAAAAATGCATTTAAAAATGTAACTGTGTTGTGTAACTGCTGAAAATCAACTTAAGTAAGCTTTATACTGCAGAGCTTGCAGCGAAGCCTGCCCAAGAGTAGGGTCAGCAGGGGCTGCTGCCAGTCTTGCCCCTGGGAGGAGGCTCTGCTGCGGCAGCAAAAGCGGCTTCCCAGGAACAAGGCCAGCAAGGGGAGCCATCATATAACCTGTAGCTGGGGGATGGCTGGGGGGCTGCTGATCCTGCCACTGACAGGTGCTGTTCGAGTGGACCCTGCAAGGCTGGAGCAACCCCCTGGCCAGGGCAGGTGGGGAGCTGCCCTGGCCCTACTAGCTAATTGGAACCAGTAAGCATCACCTGTTAACTATTAATATTGTAGCTGATTTTACATGTTGCGTGGTTGTGCATCTGTGGTGTTTGTGGGATTTTTTTTTGTTTTGGTCACAGTTTGTAGGACGTTGTGTGTATGTGTTCTGCTGCATCAGCTGTTTTCACTTAACCAAATATATAGTACAAACTCCCTGCTATCATCTGTGTGGACTTGCCAAATTGTTTGTTTTACTAGTTTCTGATGCTCCTCCCCCCCTTAAAATAGGCTTCTGTTCAAGTCCTTCAAGTTCGCATTTGTTTGGATGCTGGTTTCTCTCCCTATTTCCACATGTACAGAATTACACTCTCGTGTGCTTTCTCATATTTTCTACTTCAGCAGTTTTGGTTTTTTCTGATGGCTGAATCGCAAGGGAGAATCTTTACCTTAATTTCATTACTTGTGGTAAAATTATAAAAGCTTGCTGCTTCTCTGGTGGCTTGAAGTTGTGATGTGAAGCGTACCATCTAACAGTTTGTCTTTTTTGTTCATCAGCTTGCCCTTTCTTTTGTGAAGCTGCTGCAATTAGCAGTGCATAAAGGAAAGCTATGTCTCTTTGAGCTATAATCATCTCATTTTACATGGGAAATAGCCATAGACCTGATCAGTAATTGACTAGCAGGTAGGGCTGTCACTTGACCATGTTAACGCCTGCAGTTAACACAGGACAGGATTAACGCATTAATCCTTTTAATGTGTTAATGCTGCGCTGCCCCTTTGAAGTGCTGTTTTGACACTTTAAAGGGGAAGTGCATTAGGAGCCTGGGATCATTTCAAAGGGGCTTTGCAATGCTGAGCCGGGGATCAGCTGGAGTCCTCAGCTGATCCCAGGCTCCTAATACGCTACCCCTTCCAGCTGCCATCACAGCACTTCAAAAGGCCAACGCTGCATGAAACCCGGGGTCAGCTGGGGACTCCAGCTGATCCTGGGTTCCCTCAGTGCTGCCCCATGGAAATGTGGTACTGTCCCTTGGAAATGCCGGGGCAGTTTTTCCAAGGGGCAGCGCCACATGGAGCCGGGGTCAGCTAGGGACTCTAGCTGGTCCTGAGCTCCTGCAGTGCTGCCCCTTTGAAACACTCCCTCTGCATTTCGAACTGGCTGTGGTACTGAGCCTGGGATCAACTGAGGACTCCAGCTGATCCTGGGCTTCCACAGCGCTGCCCCTTTGAAACACTGCTGCAGCATGCACTATTAATCAATACATTTTTTAATTGCTTGACTAGCAGGATAAAAACTCATAGGTTTAAAAATAATTAAATTTTTGATTGTTTTAATTGGATTATTTAAATTTAAATTATATTTTTTCTTTAAAAATAAATCTGTTTCAAATGAAATCTGAATTTATTGCAAAATTTGTGATGGTCTAAACTTGTAAATGTGAAGCATATTTTGATAGAAGTTTGTTATTCAAAGCACTTAAAATTTAATAAATTGCTCTAATTCCAGTTACCATCGTAATGCAGGTTGACAAAAAAGAACAAAAGGTTAATAGCTAATAAAGAAGCAAAATATAATTCGTCACTTTCTCTTATACTAAAATATATATAGCTTATATTAAGCTATATGATGGCTTAAAATATTGTTATATAATTCTTCAATAACTGTATATAGCTATAGTCTACACTTCTAGTTAGCAAAAAAAAATTACCAAATCTAGTTTAATGGCTTTATTTAGTTATAAATTAACATGTTTGACTGGTTATGTTAACCAATAAGAATGTACCTTGCCTTAGAAAATGACTGAAGTACAAATGAAAATGCTGATTAAATTCAGGCTTTCCACTTGGTGATTAAAATCATGGTTTTGTTCACTAATCCTCTGTTGGAAGATCACAAAGAATAAAAAATGTATGGAAAAAAACCCTTCTTTTAAAAAAGACAATCTTTCTAAAAGCACACCAAAAGACTAAAAAATAATAAAGTGCACCAAAAAAGTCAAAAATAAAGTTTTAAGCTAGCAATTTAGGAGAAAGATTGGATGGCTAAGTATGGTTCAAGCTAGCTGCTGTTAGCCATCCAATCAACAGCAGCTAGCTTGAACCATACTTAGCCATCCAATCTTTCTCCTAAATTGCTAGCTTAAAACTTTATTTTTGACTTTTTTGGTGCACTTTATTATTTTTTAGTCTTTTGGTGTGCTTTTAGAAAGATTGTCTTTTTTAAAAGTTTTTTTTATTTTATTTTTGTCTTTTTAGTCTTAAGTCTAATGTGTTTCAAGTAATAAAAACTCCAAGGTTCATTTTGATATGCTTATATATTTTGAGGTAGACTTTTTTACATAATCTTTTTTGCACTAGGTATTTACATTTGTAATTATAAACAGTTGTGTTTAAGGCAAGGATCAAGTAATTGAGGTGATCGATCAATGGTTTTGTTGACTAAAAGGAGGAAGGCTTCAAAGACACTGTAATTCTTCTAAGGTGTCTTTATGACCAACATTGTCGCCCATTAATTTATTTGGATCGATTTTGTCGATCTCTACACTGTCTAAAGAACGTACTTGACTGAATGCCACAAATGGTTGAGCTGGCACAAATTATTGAGAGCTGAAGGTCACAACTGCTTTATGCATCGTAGTCCCTTGTAGTTTGTGGACGGTGACTTCATAAGCATGGATGATTGGAAGCATTTGCTGCACCACCAAGCTTTATCCAAAATTCGCTTGAAATTGACATGTAATTGACTCAGTGTGCTTTCTGACATCGCCTTCGAATTCAATTTAAACTTTACGGATATCGGTTTCGTGAATTTGGTTGTGTGGAAGTAGGGCCATATTATATTGGTGATGGTGCCAATTTTGCCTTTGATCAAGCAGTTTGCTTGGTCAACACTGTACGGAAGCACAGTAAGAGGCACCCAGATGTATTACAGTTCTCTTTAGAGTGCCTGCTGTTCGATTGATCTTTGTTGGGATAGCTCAATAAAGGTTAGGCACTCGTCTTTTCTGCTCAACGAGGGTATCTTGTGCTATGATTATGAACATTTGGAGGTTCGTATTGTCTAAACTGCACAAGACTTGATTATTGTGGTCATGTACCATTTTACAAGTCAGCATGATTCTCAAAACTTTTCTGGGTGAAAAGTCCCCTTGTTGTTCGCTTTCCTCACATTTACGTAGTAAAATATGTAGTTCTCATGTAAGTTTTCCTCTCAAAGATTATTTAAAATTTCGATAAATGTTGTATCCCCTCACTGTCACATGTTTTCAGTCAATTCACAAAAGCTAAAGAGGCGCCAGAGATGCACAGCGGGTCTTATTGAAACAGGTTGCTTATAAATGGGACTGGCTGATATTGGTGGAAGTTGAAGGAGATCACTGAAGAGCAAAATGTTCAAGCCTGCAAAAAGTTCATCAACATTAAGTTGGCTTAAACTTGACTGACAATCGGTATACACTAGCCACTCATATGATATAATAGAAACTTCATCAATGATAACAAATCTCACATTATGCCATTGGCGTCACATATGTTGAAGGTAATCTGCAGACAAGGGTGTGAAAGAGAGCATGTGGAGGTCTTTTTGAATGGGCACCATGAGCATTGAGTGCAGTATGAGCATTGAGGGCACCATGAGCATTGGCCGTTGACCAGTAGCGCAGCTTACTCCAGTGGGAGCTGCCGCTTTGATGAAAATCCCAGCAGGTTCTACTGGTCAGTAAAGATAACAAATCAGCTCAATCGCAGCTTGAATAGAAATGTCCTGCCATTGTGGTGCCTCCAGTGACGAACAACCGGAGAGGTGGTGGTGCTGGATTTTGATCTGTGGCTGATAGCTCACGCTGAATGTGGAATATAATGTAGTTGAACAGTTATCTCTGAGATTCATTCGAGATCTTCCACTTTCTAAATCTTCATTGGGCATGTTAAAGTTCGATTCTTCCACCTCAATCAACTGGATTTCATCTGGATTTCGATTCTGTTGAGATTCGCCGTCCTCTATCTGCATGAAAGTCTTAATTTGATCGATGGCAGCTTCGATTTCTTGTTTAAATTGCTAGAGTTCTTCGATGTTACTGTTCCTCAATCACAAAAAGTCTTGATTGGCAATAAAGGCTTACTTGGCAGTTCCATGTTCTTCCAAAAGCTCGGATTCCTTTAGAAAAGGTTTGTGAAGAACCAGCAAGTTATTGAAGTAGCTTTCTTTGTCTCTTATGTATGAAAAGTGAAGGGTGCGTATAATGTCTGGTCTTGTCCAAATATTTATTTTTGATCCATCTTTCAAGGTAAGCAAACGTGTGGGTACGTTCCCAGTCAAATCAAACTTTCATGAAGCCTCTGGAACTCGTCCCAGTCAAATCGAACTTTCCAGAAGCCCTTCTAACCCTTGCAATTCAAATACAATCTACACCCATGTGTTTGTATACGTATGTGCATGTGTGTGTGAAAGTTGAAAATTCCGTGACTGACAGATGGACAATAATGATGGCCGTTTAATCGAGAGATTGCCTAATAAAAATAGAATACTGTAGAAAGTGGGGTTGATTTTATTAAATAACTCATGTCTTTCTCTGAATCAAGTGTATCTGCCTGTGGTTTGTTAAAGGTCTATTAGTAGGTCCAAATTCAAGCTGCTTATTCTCATTTTCCAGGTTCTTTGTTTTTAGCCTCTTGTACTCCTTCTCAGCTTTAGTCTCTCCAAATATTTTCTTTGCCCATATTGTCTAATTTCTCCATTTTCCTATCTGTTTTTCATTCTATCCATAAATTTGAAATTGCTTGTCCACCATGCCTCCATTCTTTTTCATTAAATTTCTCCTCTGCTCCTTTTAGGGAGGCCTGCCAACTTTCGTATATAAATTCTACAAATAACATGTTCAAATAAAAACCATCTTCAAGATGCAAGCAGTACTCCTACATGATAGGAAATCAGGCATGGGCAATAATTTTTTGCCAGGGGCCATTTCAGGAATTTTTGAAGTGGTCCCAGGTCGCACCAGGAGGGGCAGGTCCAGGATACTTCCCTGCTTTCCTACCCACAAACCATAATTGGCCTGGGGGCGGGGGAGCAGCAGGGCTTCCATGGGCTGGATCAAACTGCTTGATGGGCCAGATGCAGCCCGCGGAGGCCCTTTTGCCCACCCCTGTTGTAGATCATATTGTCTTTTTGTTTTTCCTCTCTGCCCAAGCCCTTCATTTGGTGGTGTTTCTGTTGTTGACATGTTGTGTGATGGTACTATAATTAAATAGCGGAAGCCTTGGCCTCTTGTAATCTTTGATCCCATTGTACTAGCCGTGTAGTATGTAGGTAATTCCCTGTGGCTTTTCTGTTTCCTGTGGCATTATTTACATCCTCTACTGAAATGTTGTGGTTGTATACACTGTTCAAGACCTGTTTCATTCCACCTTTATACTTGGCAACATTCTAGCTATCATGAAATTATTTCATATATGATTCTTGTATATGTAGGCATACACATAGATGGTAGGATAAATGTTGAAATACTTTTCAATTGTGTAGAATGAAAAAATCTGTACTAGTAGTGGAACTCTCAATCTGAAGAGTAATTACTTTCTGTGTAAATGATTTAAATGTTAGAAGATGAGTTCTCTTTTGATTAAACTAATGGTTCTCAACTAGGAATCTGAAGGGGCCATGAACCGGTTTTAGGGTGCCTGTCAAGCACGGCTGCCATTAGATTTGGTGGTGCCTAGGGCAGAAAGCCAAAATACTGCCACATCGGGCAGAAGCCTGGGTACCTGAGGTCTGTCACCTGGGGCTAGGGCTGAAATCAAAGCCTGAAGAACTTAGCTTCATGTGGGGCTTTTGACAGTTGCCATGCTTGTTATCCTCAACACTGGTCTGGCTTACATGCAGAAAAGCAGTTGTGGCACAAGTGGGCCGTGGAGTGTTTATAAGATGTTGTGGAGAGGAGGAATGCTTTGCCCTGAATTTGGCCCTACCTATTTGGAAGTTCTTGAACTGAATAAATTTGAACTTCCTATAAGTCATTTTTGCAAAGAAACTTTAATTTTTTAGAAAATGAAGTGGAAATGTAGGGGACAAGTTCCATATCTTTGAAAAGATTTGTCTGCATCTCATAAAACTCTTAATATTTCTTTTGGCTAGTCTGTGCTTTTGAAACTTGAAGCATGTAGAGACCTTTTTGATAAAATTATAGTATGGCAAAATCAGGTTTCCAAGAGAACATTTTCACATCTTAACTGGTGTTCCTCAATAAGTCTAGAACTATGGGCTCATCTAGACTACACAGAATGATTGAAAGAGGATATGCAAATTCTGTGTGAATTTGCATATCTTCTTCCGATAGAACTTTTGAAAGTGCAAGTAGTTTAGACGCAGCTTTTTTGGTGAACCCCCCCTTGTCGAAAAGCTGCGTAAACATCATTTTGCATATCCTCTTTCGACCATTCCGCGTAGTCTAGATGAGCCCTAAGAGAAACAATGTCTGTACTGTTTGAGCTTTAGTTTTTGAAACATTTAAATTCATATCTTTGTCCATTGCTATTCTTAATATGTGCCTATTCCTAAACAATGTTACATTATCTATTTGTGAGCATTTTAATTCCATAGTTAATATCAGACCATTGTTTTGTGTTATATCTTTCCTTAATATTGAAATACTCATAAGCAAATCATTATTTAATTGTCCACCAATAGGTTCCCTAAGTAGTTATGATGATCACTGTGTTAGCAAAGCACTCTAATTCTTTAATAGATTCGCAGCAGCTTGCATGTTAATCTTTGCTGAAACTATTGTTTTGCGGGCTGAAGTCAAGATACTAAAGGTGATTTAGTTGTACAGATAGATGAGTTTCTAATAAATAAGAAATTAGATGTAAAAATGTTAAAATCATTTATCTCACTTTTAGTTTCCATGAGACTTAAAATTTGTCTAAAATGTTTGACAATTTTCATAATTAAACTTTCAGTGTTTCCCAGCTGAATCCTTCAGAAGAATCTCAGAAGAGCTGTACTATTGGAATGGCTGGTATGGTTTTATCCCTTCTTTCAACTGCCTGGTTCCCACTGGATCTTTCTGCACACCAAGATGCTTTAATTTTGATTGGAAACTTGCTTGCAGGTAGACAACAATTTTGGGCTTTTTCATTGTGATAATTTCCATTATGTAGTCAGAAAGCCCTATCTCTGTTTCACTGTAGGCAGTAAATATTCGCAAGCTTCAGAGCTTAAGAATTGCAGAAGAGGGTGGGAAGTTGTAACTGGGGTTGTGCATTGTTTTTCTTTATTTGGCTGGGCATCTAATGTTCATGCATGATAGTTATCTAGATATGTGAGCCTTCTCAAATATATTAAAATGTATAGGCTTTTCCTATATAACCCGGTAAGCATATTGTTCTTCTTCCTAATACCACTTTACAACATTCTACTAGCTGAGGAGTTATGCCTCTTAGATTTGAATTGGATAAAGGAGTCGTTAACACAAGGCACAATGATCTCTCTTAACAACAGGCCATTAGGTCACTAGTTAACACGTGGCTTTACCTAATTCTAGGCCTTTTATGTGGTACTTGTACATGTAATTTTAGGGCTGGAACAGTCTCATAAAGCCCAGATTTCCACTTGGTCTGTTCTTATTGGTCCTTTGATCTTTCTATTTTTAAATAACCGTAAGAGAAGGGATCTGTGTGTAGAATGGCCTATATAGGATATGTCGGTAGCAGAACATAACTTGAGAAATAGCTCAGTTATAACTGTTTACATTTCTTTAGGCTCAGATGTCTTCCCTAAAACAACTTGGACTTTGATACTTGACTACTGTTGCATACTTTGTGCACGTAACGATATTGTCTATATAGTCATAAGACATAATGTGTGGGTATTTATATTTACAATTAAAATGAAATTTTAATTAAAGTGGTATAGAGAAAGTGTGTCTAAGCATATTAGTGATAAACTGTTTTAAGTAAGATTTTATTTTTCCTTGCTTTGTATTCACTGCTCATATAGAGAATATAATTGACTAAAGATGTAACTTTAAAATAGTTTCTGCTAACATTTTTCAAATCCAAGTTGTGATGTGTTCCCCTGGCATACCACATCAACTGGCATCCCACTGAGGCCCTGATCCACCAACCTGCGCTCCCTTTTACACTATATTGCTGTGATAAGCTGACAAGCCTTCTAGGCTTTAGTCTGCACTTTCACCAGCATACATACAAGTAGGAGCGTACCCAGCTGCAGTATGTGCAGAGGGTTCTATAACCAACACTTGCATGGGTAGGCTTTTGCTAGGGTACCTCTCAGTTCCTAAAGCCTGTAATCCCTCTGCAGTTTAAACTCAAAATTATACTGCTTTGCACTGCACAGGAAACTGTACAGCATAAGCTCATAAAATTTGCTGCCTCCTTCAGTATGAAGGGGAAACACAACAGCTTTATCCTCCCTGGGTTATGATTCCCACATGCTGGTTTTAGATAAAGCAAAAACAAGTATTAAATATAAAAGATAGATTGTAAGTGATTATAAGGGGTAGTAAACAGATCAAAGCAGATTAGTTAGCAAATAAATGAATAAAAATGCAAGCTAAACTTAATATTTTAAATAGATTGGGCACAAATAGCAGATCCTCACTCTGAGTTTGGATGAGCAAATTCCAGCCTGCAGGTGGGATCTGGTCCACAGGGTTAGTTCCTGGTGGACCCCCACCTCTGTATTTATCTGTGCCTTTGCAGGTATCAAGCGAGCTATCAGGGATGCATGGATATCTCTTGGGGATGATCTAGATCAGGGGTGGGCAATAATTTTTGACTGGAGGCCACTTCAGAAATGTTTGAAGTGGCCCCAGGCCACCCTGGAAGGGGCGGGGCCTGAGATGGAAGGGGCAGGACACTTCTGTGTTTCCCCACCCGCTGACCCTGATTGGTCTGGGTATTGAGGAGTGGGTAAAGTCTCCCCCGCCCCCCGAGAGAACTGCCAATAGCTGGTGGTTCCGTCTAGGTACTAGGGTTGCCAGGTAGTCTGGTATTTTCGCCTCCTGTCTGGTTTAAAAAAAAAAAAAAAAATTCAGAGAATACTGGACACCTGAGAAGTTGTCTGGTATTTTCTGAATTTTTCCGCAGCCAGGAGGCAAAAATGCTTGGCACCTTGCAACCCTACAAACACTCAGCTCCTGGCCCCCCCCCC